GACACAGAATTGTTACTGAGGGACACAGAATTGTTACTGAGGGACACAGAATTGTTACTCAGGGACACAGAATTGTTACTCAGGGACACAGAATTGTTACTCAGGGACAGGGACACAGAATTGTTACTCAGGGACACAGAATTGTTACTAAGGGACACAGAATTGTTACTCAGGGACAGACACAGAATTGTTACTACAGGGACACAGAATTGTTACTCAGGGACGACACAGAATTGTTACTGAGGGACACAGAATTGTTACTGAGGGACACAGAATTGTTACTGAGGGACACAGAATTGTTTCTGAGGGACACAGAATTGTTACTCAGGGACACAGAATTGTTACTGAGGGACACAGAATTGTTACTGAGGGACACAGAATTGTTACTCAGGGACACAGAATTGTTACTCAGGGGACAGACACAGAATTGTTACTGAGGGACACAGAATTGTTACTGAGGGACACAGAATTGTTACTCAGGGACACAGAATTGTTACTCAGGGACACAGAATTGTTACTCAGGGACAGACACAGAATTGTTACTCAGGGACACAGAATTGTTACTCAGGGACACATAATTGTTACTGAGGGACACAGAATTGTTACTCAGGGACAGACACAGAATTGTTACTCAGGGACAGACACAGAATTGTTTACTCAGGGACACAGAATTGTTACTGAGGGACACAGAATTGTTACTCAGGGACACAGAATTGTTACTCAGGGACGCAGAATTGTTACTCAGGGACAGACACAGAATTGTTACTCAGGGACAGACACAGAATTGTTACTCAGGGACACAGAATTGTTACTCAGGGACACAGAATTGTTACTCAGGGACACAGAATTGTTACTCAGGGACACAGAATTGTTACTCAGGGACAGACACAGAATTTGTTACTCAGGGACACAGAATTGTTACTCAGGGACACAGAATTGTTACTCAGGGACACAGAATTGTTACTCAGGGACACAGAATTGTTACTCAGGGACACAGAATTGTTACTGAGGGACACAGAATTGTTACTCAGGGACACAGAATTGTTACTCAGGGACACAGAATTGTTACTCAGGGACACAGAATTGTTACTCAGGGACACACAGAATTGTTACTCAGGGACACAGAATTGTTACTCAGGGACACAGAATTGTTACTGAGGGACACAGAATTGTTACTCAGGGACACACAGAATTGTTACTCAGGACACAGAATTGTTACTCAGGGACAGACACAGAATTGTTACTCAGGGACACAGAATTGTTACTCAGGGACACAGAATTGTTACTGAGGGACACAGAATTGTTACTCAGGGACACAGAATTGTTACTCAGGGACACAGAATTGTTACTCAGGGACACAGAATTGTTACTCAGGGGACACAGAAATTGTTACTGAGGGACACAGAATTGTTACTCAGGGACACAGAATTGTTACTGACAGGGACACAGAATTGTTACTCAGGACACAGAATTGTTACTGACACAGAATTGTTACTCAGGGACACACAGAATTGTTACTCAGGGACACAGAATTGTTACTCAGGGACACAGAACAGACACAGAATTGTTACTCAGGGACACAGAATTGTTACTGAGGGGACACAGAATTGTTACTCAGGAACACAGAATTGTTACTCAGGGACACAGAATTGTTACTCAGGGACACAGAATTGTTACTTGATACTCAGGGACACAGAATTGTTACTCAGGGACACAGAATTGTTACTCAGGGACACAGAATTGTTTACTCAGGGACACAGAATCGTTACTCAGGGACACAGAATCGTTACTGAGGGACAGACCAGAATTGTTACTGAGGGACACACAGAATTGTTACTGAGGGACACAGAATGGTAACTCAGAGACAAGAATTGTTACTCAGGACACAGAATTGTTACTCAGGGACACAGAATTGTTTACTCAGGGACACAGAATCGTTTAATTAAAGAGTATGTCAGACAACACGCAGAGGAGGGCAGAGGAGGCAATGTTTCAGGAGCTAGCAGACGTGGGGTCAGCAGAGGAAGGGTCGAGGCAGCACTAGTCGCAGCCAGAGGCCAGTGCTCCCCGTGTCATCCAGCGGTCGTGTCTCCACCGACAACCCTGCCGTCATCGATTGGTTGGCTCGGTCGTCTTCCTCTTCCCAGGTCACCTCTGACACCTACAGCCAACGGTTGGTGGGGGGTACGTCAGACACAACCGTTAGTTGGCATGGCCCGGAGCAAGCCCACTGAAATCACGTGTCCTCTACCTGCCCTGTCCTTTGGTGTTCCCTCACCAAGCGAAGTATCGCATGCTGTGGGCTCAGCCCCACTGTACAGTGAGGAAGAGCTAACAAGGCGGTCAGGAACGGGGGGAGACATCATCCGCCTCTTCAGCAGCCAGGCGAAGAAGTACTGGCGAGGAGAGTGGCTCGGTAGCCGGTCTAGAGACAGTTAGGAAGTAGCAGTCACCAGTGAGGAGTAGCTCGGGGGGCACAGTTTCCTACTCGGACAGGATGTGGCTGATTTTTTTGTGAAGCCGCCCGAGGGAACAGTCATTGTAGCCGTATGTCAGACACAACATGTGGCTCAGGCTGAAGTCAGAAGTGTTTCGTGGCCAGGGGGCCCCCCACTGTCTCCATCGCCACACTCTGCCATGTGCCACTTTCAATTCTCCTCACACTGCTTGGTGGGTTTCCATTTTGTCATAGGGTGCTGGCAATTACGGGCCTCCCATTGCTGCTGCAGGCCCGTAATCTGTCATGGGCCCCCGTACCGCCTCCTCATGCTGCTGCCAGGTCCCAGATCTGTCATGGGTCCCTGTACGGCCTCCCATTGCTGCTGTCTCCATCGCCACACTCTGCCATGTGCCACTTTCAGGTCTCCTCACACTGCTGGTGGGTTCCATTTTGTCATAGGGTGCTGGCAGATTACGGGCCTCCCATTGCTGCTACCAGGCCCGTAATCTGCCATGGGGCCCCCGTACCGCCTCCTCATGCTGCTGCCAGGTCCAGAGTGTTCTCATGGGTCCCTGTACGGCCTCCCATTGCTGCTGTCTCCATCGCCACACTCTGCCATGTGCCACTTTCAGGTCTCCTCACACTGCTGGTGGGTTCCATTTTGTCATAGGGTGCTGGCAGATTACGGGCCCTCCCATTGCTGCTGCCAGGCCCGAAATCTGCCATGGGCCCCCGTACCGACTCCTCTCATGCTGTGACGTTGCAACAAGGTGGAATTCTAACCCTACATATGTTAACCGCCTTTACGAACAGCGAAAGGCCATCACCGATTTCCTGATGTTACAAGCGGATAAAGGTACTCCCCTGTGTAACTTAGTGTGTCAGCCATTGGCAGCTCATGCGTGACACCTGCCGCTTGCTCAGGCCCTTTGAGGAGGCCACGCTATTCGTGAGTCGGCAGGACTATGGGATGAACGACGTCATTCCTCTGTTGCACGTCCTGGAACAAATGCTGTTAACAATGGCTGGTCCAGGGTGCGGTAGACCTGGCGCACAGATCTCAACGCCACATGACCCCTGTGGGGGCAGGACAGGGAAGAAGAGGAGGAGGTAGAGGAGGAGTGATTGGTGCTCAGGAATTATTGAGTGAAAATGGGTGGTTTTTCCACTCAGCGTCATACAGGTGAGTGGAGGAGCAGGAGCATCTGGTAGAGGAGGAGGAGGAGACAGAGGACCCAAACGCACCTGTAGCAGTATGCTGTGGAGATGGAGGCAGGGAGTCCCTCGCATTCTTTGGCAGAAATGGCCATAGCATGCTCGGTTGCTTGCGTAGCGACAGCCGAATAATAACCATCAGACAAAGGGATGACTTTTGGCTGCTGTCCACCTTGTTGGACCTCGCTACCGTTCAAAAATGGGTGGCCTTTTTCACACCTGCTGAGAGGGAGGCCAAAATAACGTACTATAAAAACTGCCTATGTAGTCAGTTGGTCTCTGCCTTTCTGCTCCCAACGTCCATCCTCAGACACTGGGGGCCCTGTGCGCTCGCGTTCTGCTCGCCATGGCAGCAGGGGAGGGGTGGGCCAGTGGCAGCTCCCCAGCAGCGGCTGCCTCAGTCTGCAGTCGATGATGAGTAGCCATTTCTTCACCAGCGCAGTGAGCAAACTACTAACCAGCCTCAGCAGCAGCAGCATGGTGGACCTGAGCAGGACCTCAAACAAAGCAGGCTTGGGCCTACTTGGACAGCACCCTGCCAACCGAGGTAGACAATCCCCTTGACTACTGGGCAACGAAACTTGACCTTTGGCCCCAACTAGCTGAATTTGCCCTTGAAAGGCTGTCATGCCCGGCCAGTAGCGTGGCATCGGAGCGCATGTTTAGTGCGGCAGGAGGTATTGTAACTCCGCGGAGGACACGACTGTCCACCCAAAGTGTGGAGAGACTCACGTTTGTGAAAATGAATCAGGCCTGGATTAGTCTGGATTTCAAACCACCAGTTCCTGACACAACTGACTAAATCCGCCATGAATCATGCCCTCAAACTGCTGTTATTCCATTTTTAACATAGGCCTCTGTATGGCCTTCATTTAAGCTGCTTACAGCTTCGCCATCTCTGCCATGGGCCCCTGTACCGCCTCCTCTTGCTGCTGCCAGGTCCAGAGTGTCTCATGGGTCCCTGTACGGCCTCCCATTGCTGCTGTCTCCATCGCCACACTCTGCCATGTGCCACTTTCAGGTCTCCTCACACTGCTGGTGGGTTCCATTTTGTCATAGGGTGCTGGCAGATTACGGCCTCCCATTGCTGCTGCCAGGCCCGTAATCTGCCATGGGCCCCTGTACCTACTCCTCATGCTGCTGCCAGGTCCAGAGTGTCTCATGGGTCCCTGTACGGCCTCCCATTGCTGCTGTCTCCATCGCCATACACACTCTGCCATGTGCCACTTTCAGGTCTCCTCACACTGCTGGTGGGTTCCATTTTGTCATAGGGTGCTGGCAGATTACGGGCCTCCCATTGCTGCTGCCAGGCCCATAATCTGCCATGGGCCCCCGTACCGCCTCCTCATGCTGCTGCCAGGTCCAGAGTGTCTCATGGGTCCCTGTACGGCCTCCCATTGCTGCTGTCTCCATCGCCACACTCTGCCATGTGCCACTTTCAGGTCTCCTCACACTGTTGGTGGGTTCCATTTTGTCATAGGGTGCTGGCAGATTACGGGCCTCCCATTGCTGCTGCCAGGCCCGTAATCTGCCATGGGCCCCCGTACCGCCTCCTCATGCTGCTGCCAGGTCCAGAGTGTCTCATGGGTCCCTGTATGGCGGCCTCCCATTGCTGCTGTCTCCATCGCCACACTCTGCCATGTGCCACTTTCAGGTCTCCTTACACTGCTGGTGGGTTCCATTTTGTCATAGGGTGCTGGCAGATTACGGGCCTCCCATTGCTGCTGCCAGGCCCGTAATCTGTCATGGGCCCCCTGTACCGCCTCCTCATGCTGCTGCCAGGCCCGTAATCTGTCATGGGTCCCTGTACGGCCTCCCATTGCTGCTGTCTCCATCGCCACACTCTGCCATGTGCCACTTTCAGGTCTCCTCACACTGCTGGTGGGGCCAATTTGTCATAGGGTGCTGGCAGATTACGGGCCTCCCATTGCTGCTGCCAGGCCCGTAATCTGCCATGGGCCCCTGTACCGCCTCCTCATGCTGCTGCCAGGCCCGTAATCTGTGTCATGGGTCCCTGTACGGCCTCCCATTGCTGCTGTCTCCATCGCCACACTCTGCCATGTGCCACTTTCAGGTCTCCTCACACTGCTGGTGGGTTCCATTTTGTCATAGGGTGCTGGCAGATTACGGGCCTCCCATTGCTGCTGCCAGGCCCGTAATCTGCCATGGGCCCCTGTACCGCCTCCTCATGCTGCTGCCAGGCCCGTAAATCTGTCATGGGTCCCTGTACGGCCTCCCATTGCTGCTGTCTCCATCGCCACACTCTGCCATGTGCCACTTTCAGGTCTCCTCACACTGCTGGTGGGTTCCATTTTGTCATAGGGTGCTGGCAGATTACGGGCCTCCCATTGCTGCTGCCAGGCCCGTAATCTGCCATGGGCCCCTGTACCGCCTCCTCATGCTGCTGCCAGGCCCGTAATCTGTCATGGGTCCCTGTACGGCCTCCCATTGCTGCTGTCTCCATCGCCACACTCTGCCATGTGCCACTTTCAGGTCTCCTCACACTGCTGGTGGGTTCCATTTTGTCATAGGGTGCTGGCAGATTACGGGCCTCCCATTGCTGCTGCCAGGCCGTTAATCTGCCATGGGCCCCCGTACTGCCTCCTCATGCTGCTGCCAGGCCCGTAATCTGTCATGGGTCCCTGTACGGCCTCCCACTGCTGCTGTCTCCATCGCCACACTCTGCCATGTGCCACTTTCAGGTCTCCTCACACTGCTGGTGGGTTCCATTTTGTCATAGGGTGCTGGCAGATAATGGGCCTCCCATTGCTGCTGCCAGGCCCGTAATCTGCCATGGGCCCCCGTACCGCCTCCTCATGCTGCTGCCAGGTCCAGAGTGTCTCATGGGTCCCTGTACGGCCTCCCATTGCTGCTGTCTCCATCGCCACACTCTGCCATGTGCCACTTTCAGGTCTCCTCACACTGCTGGTGGGTTCCATTTTGTCATAGGGTGCTGGCAGATTACGGGCCTCCCATTGCTGCTGCCAGGCCCGTAATCTGCCATGGGCCCCCGTACCGCCTCCTCATGCTGCTGCCAGGTCCAGAGTGTCTCATGGGTCCCTGTACGGCCTCCCATTGCTGCTGTCTCCATCGCCACACTCTGCCATGTGCCACTTTCAGGTCTCCTCACACTGCTGGTGGGTTCCATTTTGTCATAGGGTGCTGTATGGCCTCCCATTTCTGCTGCCTCCACCGCCACACTGTGGCTCCACACTCTGGTTTTGGCCCCGTGACTGCCCAAATGAGTGAAGTGTGCGGTGATTCTAAGATCGACGGCACTCATCTGCATGTCATACTGACTGACAGTATTATTTCTCTTCCCCAGCAGACTCCAAGGGCATTTAAATTAAAGGTACAGTGTTCTGCACTAATATAAAGGCTCTCTGAAGCCTAGAAACACCCTTTTTATAAGTTAAATTCGCAGCGAATATATTCGACTCGAATCGAATTTATTCCGCGAATTCGCCGAATCAGCCGAATCGAATTTTTGAATACTTCGCTCATCTCTACTAATTCTCTATTTCCTGATGTAACATGTCTACTTAATCACCCGCATACAATATGTATTCACTATGTACTCAGAATGGTGGTTCAAATCTGTAACTTTTTCCTATCTTAAGTCTGTATGCACTCTTCCACTTTCCAGATGCAATATGCCCCCTCAATTGCTCAGAAGATGCAGCCCATCCATACCCTTTTTTCAGTTTCAGTCTCCAAAACAAGATATAATTTTTTCTAATTCTAAATGCAATCTGCCTGTTCTCTCCCTCAGAACTTGTGGATTAAAGGTGTGCTGTAATTCTGTTCAGTTTTTTTTTCAATTTAACACAAAAAGACAATAATTTTAAACTTCAAGATGCAAGATGTCTGCTCAATCCATAAGAAATTGCATCCTCTCCAACAAGCATAAGTTGTTGTAGCTGTATTAGGGTATTTGCAACAACAATTGATTATTGTCCTTGATACTTTTTTATTTGCACTAGCATAACTATCCATGTTTCATTATCATTGCTGTGATTTTTTTTCCCTCTTTTTAGTCTCTATGCTAATACACATTTTATTTTCAGATGCAATTTGCCTGCTCAATCACTCAGCAACTGCAGCCTGTCTCTACAAGCCTAATATCCGTGAGACTTGAAAACTGTAAAAAAAAATCCCATATCAGCCTCTGAATCAGGTCTCAAATTTTTTATTTCTGAATGTAACATGCCCAATCAGTCACTTAGAAATTGCAGCCTGTCCATAAAAGCTTGTTATTTTTTCTGCAAATCTGTATTATTTATCAGTCTCCTAAAATAATAATAATAATATTGCACTCTGCAGTCTATTCAAGAAAGGCTTTGAAGGTTTGCTACAAATCTGGAAATTGTTTCAGTCTTCAGTCTTAGAAAATAGGTCAACATATATACAGTAGATTTATTTATAAATTAAATCTGCCTGCTTTCTTGTATAATTTTTCAGCCTTCCGTCTCAGAAAAAATTACTGGTATTTAATTAATCAAGATGAATTCTGCATGCTCTCTACCCTGATATTGCATCTTAGAAAAAAGTACATACCTCCCAACAATTCTCTTCTGTTTTTCTTACTTGTGGCTCTGAAAAATTATACTTTAATTTGGTTACATTATTATTATTATACAGGATTTATATAGCGCCAACAGCTTGCTCAGCACTTTACAATATAACGGGAGAAAATACAGCAACAATACAGTTCAATACAAGATGGTTAGGAGGGCATTGCTCCTAGGAGGGGCTAGTTGTACAAAAGGTAATAACTGTGGGGGATGGACTGATAGGAGGAAGAGAACCAATCCCAGATATTTACAGATAAATTGATGTGGGAAGTGTCTTGGTGCTGCTCAGAAGCTGAGTTGTCAATAAAAAGTCACCTCACCGGCAAATGCAGGAGAACGATGTCCACATCAAAGTCTAGAAACTTGCCATAGGAAGAGGAGAAAGGACACCGCTCTGACCGCCCGTGTAATCCTGTGAAGTGGGGATGTTCTCAGCCATCATGCCAGCCACACCCTCTGCCACATTTCACCCCACCCACCAGTGAAAAGCATCACAGGGAGTGGCCGGCGTGACAGCTGAGGACATCCCACATACACAGGATTGCCTCCTCTTCCAGGTATGTGCAGCCCATTCATAATAATAACACACACGGCAACATAACTGAAATCAAACCATCACTGTCTATGTCTGCCGATTTTGGCAAATCTCTCCACAAAACTTTAGAAATAAGAGATGAACCATAGAAAGTACTTCAGTTCAGCTACATTTCGAGCCCTTGACAAGGAGGGGACAGCCTCCTACTTGGAGTCAGTAGCCATTCCTTCACCTGAGAGATGACATAACTGAGATAAGTAATAAATGGCTGATAGAACTGACACTCCTTATGGGACAACGTGGACCCCTTGTTATGGAGTTACTTCAAGACCTTCACCAGAAGCTCCTCAAATTCCATCAGCATCCTGTCAAAGACAATTATGAAATTCAAGTACCCCGCAGCTCAACCAGATACATGTCTCCCACCACCCATTTCCAACAGTTGCTGGATGTATCAGGAGCTCCTTACAGATACTGGGGCACCTAGTCAAACTTGTATAACTTCAGAGGACAGATGAAAACAATCTTTTATTGATCATTTGTGTACATGGAAAATATATGATACCTTCTTCCTAGGTCCAACACACTAAACCACTTCTAAACCACTAAACCAAGTCCTAGAGAAGCAGTGGAAAGCAATTTTATTCATGTATGTCTCCCCTGGGCCAGGTGGGCAGAGACAAAAATCTTGAGGCTCCATTCCAGTCCAGGCAGATCCTTGAGTGAATCATAGCAAGTCTGGCTACAATTTGGGTTCACTCAAGATGACCACCCCCTTTGCTGAAGATGTAGTATAGATAAGCATTGCCTATGGTCTCCTTCAAGATGGCCACAGCAGAATTTTATTACAGACACTTCTGTTTTAAATCTTTCCATATTACAGGAGGAGAGTGATGCAGTGTAGCCAAATTAAATACTCTGTTAACAGTCACAATCATGGATACCTACTTGATATTGATTCTTTTTCTCTGGTGAGAATGTTCTCTCTGTTGCAGCTACTGTATTCCTCACAGAGCAGTATATATCCTTTGTTTAACCCCTAGAGAACCAGAATGTTACTCTCCCTTCCTGTAAAGGCCTTTTTCCGAGGTTGTATTTTATCACCACTGAGTTTTTTATCTTTTACCACACAGTATAAAGAAAAAGATTGACAAAGCCCTTGCTTTCTGTTAAAAAAAATTGTAAAAAATATCTATACATAAATTTAGACCAAAATGTATTATGCTACATGTTTTGTTAAAAAGCCCAAATAAATAAATATTGATCCTAAATGAAACCCAAATAAGTGAATAAATGATCTTTTTTTTTAAAGTAGACACCCCAGAGTAATAATAAGAAGCATGACGAATATTTTAGCAATTTCATTTTTTCCAATAATTTTTGGGCAAATGAAGAGAATAAATTCATTTTTCTTCACAAACTTTACATTTTAACAAAGTATTTATACACAGCATGGGCATACTTACAATTACAACTAGAAAACATTCTGCTACTCCACCTGAGTATGGGGTTACCACATGTGTGAGAATTTTTTACAGCAATGCTGTGTAGAGGGAAATCCAGGAGGCACCTTCAGGCTTTAAAGAGGTGCAAATTATTCATCTGATTTCCTAACTAGTTATCACATTTTTTGAGAAACAACCACAAAACTGCCATTTTTTGAAAGGAAAAACCCCAAGGTATTTGCGAAGTCATGGTGAGTTTTTGCAACATTTAATTTTTTGCTTTGGAAATTTTTGGAAAGAAATTAAAATGTATTTTTTTACACAAAGTTGTAATTTCAATAACATATTTCTCATGCACAGCATGGACATACTTATAGTTACATCCCAAAACATATTTTACCACTTCTCCTGAGTATGAGCATACCCATAGTCAATCAACATAGAGGGGCACATAATCTCTGAATTAGAGATGTCCATTAATACATTACTGCTTTCTACAAGTTCATACTTTGAATCTGAATCTGAGTGCCATGTATCTCTACTGTACTCATCAGTCATTCTAAAAATTTTAAATGCATCCTCACTAATGTATATTTCTTGGATAATTTTGACAGTGGCTGTACTTTTCTTTTACTTAAAGTAATTTGGTACTGGCTGACATGGTACTTAATGATGCTAGTACAGATGTTGTCTGGCGATCAGTACAATAGTTCTGACTGACATTGGTGCCTGATGAGACTCTTGCTGGTGCTATCTGGTGATCAGGACACTGACTGCTGCTGACACTGGTACCTGGTGACACTGTTACTTGCACTTGTTGATGATCAGGACACTCATTGTGGCTGTCATTGGTACATGATGACACTAGTACTTGTGCTGACTGGTAAACTGGACAGCAATTGTGGTTGACACTGGAACCCAATGACACTGTTACTGGTGCTGGTGACACCCTGGTAACTAATGACATTGTTAGAAATATAAAACAGAAATATTCGAGCGCTGGGTGAATAGTATGAATAGCTGCTGGCATATGAAGGTAAACCTCAAGGACCCACAAATCAAAATGGTAAATGTAAAAAGTATGCAGCACTGGTATACCTAAAACAAGCAATCATCTATACCAAAGTCTTAGATAACATAAAAGGCGCTGAATCCCAATGAAGTGGGGTGTGTAAAGTGACAAGTGAAATAAAGTAAAAAAACTTGTGATGAAGAATATCCGTGACTCCTGTGATAGTGGAAATGGATATATATTGCACTAACCAGATAGCACAATCACTTGCGCATGGAGTATATAAGACCTACTCCTGGTTCTCTGGATCTGGAACACTGCAGACGGTTGAAGTCGTCAGCGTTGCAACCACCAGGTGTTATACATCCGGATATGGTAA